ATTTGAAAAAGCACTTTTAAAAGCATAAGCTTATAAACAAGAAGCTTTCACTTCTGGAGCTAGAAATAGATATTTTAAAAGGGTATTGTTTAGGGAATTTTAGGTTAACTTACACACATGCTTCGTCTTGACTAGGCTGCATGAAGATTTTTATCTTCAAAATAGGTGCCTAACCAATAGGCACCACACAAGCTATTCTTTGTTGGCATGATCAGGCACATGCACAGAGATGTGAACATCTAAGGCACCAAACGTAGAAAAGCTACTGACAGAGAGAAAAGCTGTGCCCAAACGCCTGCGAATTAATCTTTTTTTTCATTTCCAAAACATAAATTTTGCTTATAATACCTTTTTATTTTTCATACTTTTAAAGAAGTGCTGATTTAGCCTCATAGGGTTTTTAAGAACCAGACAAGACATTATCTCTTTAGTCCACCTCATATTTTTCTCAAGCAAATAAGTGTTATTGCGCTCAACTGGAGGTCAAATTGATAAAATCCTGGCATGTCATATGCTGTCATACTTTTTAAAAGTTATGCTATTAATGTAATTAAGCAATTATTATAAATAAAGACCAGTCAACATATATGAATTTGGTTATTTCTAATGGATGAAACAGCATGCATCCACCCCAACTGCATCCAAACAAAAGGCCCACATGATGTTTTAACAAGAAGAAAATTTTACAAAAGCACTAAAATTGTTCTTTCTTATTGCACATGTCTGCCTTTCTCTGACTGCCAACTTATTAAAGGCAAATTTACAAAACAGCATTTGGTATTTAAAGCAGTCTACAATAAAAGAAGTCACCATCAGTCACTATGAGAAAAGAGAAGATGCTACCTTTAATTCGAGGTTCAAGGCATTAGAGAAAGCCCTCATCAGCAGATTGGTTATGGTTAAACACCAGATTATGAATACGTTCACATTTTAGGACTGAACAGGAAAGTAAAGGTAAGCTACTTAAAGGAGTAGTTGGAAGCCTTCTCTTTCCCGCTGAAGAAATAAAATTTAAGGAGACTTAGAAACATGTATAAATTATTTAATTAAAATACCATTCAATCTTTATGGGAAAAAAAGGTACAAGATTTATGCAACACTCTTAGCTGACAAGATGCATTAATGACATGTCCAGAAATGAAATCATCTTTTGTCCTCAGCATGTGCCATCAACTGATTTCATACATACAGTCCTTAGAACAGATCAGCAGATAGCAAAGCCAAGCCATGACTTTCAAGAAAAGGTATACACTGTATACCACTGAATGTAAAAGGAATTTTATCTGTCAAACCCACAGCAGCATTTGCTGTAACTATTAACCCGGTTTTGCTGTGGAGAAACACAATGTGCATTACTGAATCATTTCTTTTCAAATCCATACATTCCCTGCAGCAGTTCAAGCTTCATCAGCAGTGCAGGAATGTATGAAAACGACAGGCAAAGGGCACTAGCTCTTTTCCCATACTGTTCTTCTATAAATGGAAGCAGAGTCCTACAAAGCACTTAAAGCTGAGAATGTTTGAAGACTGATCTCCAGGAAAAAAATAATACAATGCTAAGTTCCACGAGTAGATTAATTACTCCGTTTTCTGCAAAACTGTTTCCATTAAATGAAAGGACAGAGAGGGAACCAACCAGTAGAAAATAATGGAATGCTAGCTGGGTCTCATCTACAAAGCTGCCATGAATAAAGCATATACATACACATTCATATTTCATATTCTATTCTTAAAAATGCTTCTTACCCTTTTGGGAGCACCTGTTCCTGAATTCACTTTTCCCCCTCACTTTCACCAAGGGAGAGAAAAAGGGCAGATTTGGCAGAAATCCTTTAATAGCCTCAAGTCAATTTGATTAAACTTTGATTTGCCTTAAAAATTACACCTTATATCAGCAGCATGTTATAGAAACCTTAAAATACAACGTTCAGAATAAAAAGGCTGTGAAATATGTAACATATGCCACGGTGATAAGCTGGATAGGCAATGAAATGCAAGTATGCTATATCATAACACAGCAAGAAACTTGTGTGCTTATTGCTGAAACTCTGAGCTGTTTTCTTCTTCTGTTGTTTTAAGGGTTAATACAAACACATAGCATTCTTTTAGGGAAAAAGAAAGAAAGAAAGAAAGAAAAAGTCTTCGCAAATTTAACAGCAGCCCTTCGCTGCTACTTTGCCATCCTCAGCGTGAAGAAAATACCGTGGCATGTACCATGCCTGCACGCCTGGATTTACATCAGCTCCAGCTCCCCGCTGCACCGAGCGGGAGGGGGCAGGAGGAGCCAAGGCAAGAGCAAACACTGCACACCGAATCCCCCTTCCAGTATCTTTTTACAGAAGCCCTCGCTAACAAAACACTATAGCTCCAGGCAGCGGCATGCTGATGTTGGCACTGCTTAAACCAAACAAACACGATGTTTAACAGTCAAATAAAATGTCCCGCAGCCTCCCTAATGAATTTGTCAAGGACCATCAGATCACCCCCGCCCCTGCCTCATTAACTCAAGTATGATGAGACGGATTATAACGAGGGAATACAGATCAATCGGTCTGAAGACTTCAAGTGGCTTTTAGCCCTGAGAGTTTCCCTCTCTGCGGCACACACACGCACACGGTCTTTTTAATGGAATACAGTATCTCCTGCTGCTGGAGGGGATGCCACTTCGTTTTATACACCATCAAGGAGCTGCTGATGGACTTCTACACTAACATACATAAAAGCAGAGGTGACAAGGGCTCTTCAATTATAGCCTCCTCGGATCCTGTTCCCCCTTCAATTATTCATCCCAGCGAGAGCAAATTCCGCCACAGATGAAGCTGGTCTTAATGCAGTGCGGCCACAAACGCCCAGACACGGGAGAGAAGGGTTTCACGTGCATTATTTGCTGGAAGTGTTTAAGTTTATTGCTCAAATGATGTTTCTAATTAGCGTCGGGGCAATAAATTAAAGTCAGCTTTTGTTTAGCTGATTTATTATTTACTAGAGCTTCAACCTCAGGCAGGAAAATTGGTAATGAATTGTTTTAAATCTGAACACCGCTAACGCTACATCATTAGACACCTTACCGCGGACGGGGGCGGGGGGGGGGGAGTGTGGGAGGGGAATCGTTCCCTCGTTCTACTTTTACCCTGAGAACAGGAACGCGCGTCCCCCCACCCTTGCCCGGGCCGCCTGACGGCTCCGGCATCTCCTCCGCGAACGCGGGAAACCCCAGGGCTGCAGGAAGCGAGACCCCGCGGAGCTTTCCTGCCCACCACTGATCGGAGGGGTCGAGGTGCAGAGCACCTCGCCGGACCAGCGGCGAGTGAGCCCCCGTCCGCCCCGGGAGCTTCGACGGGGCTTGTGAAAAAGAGTCGTAGCCTTAAATAACTCTGCAATTGCCGGAGGGCGTCCGGAGCCGAGGTGTAGGACCCTCGCTGCCCCGCCCGGCCGGCTCAGCCGCCAAGAGAAGCTCCGCGCAGGCGATGACCGCCCGGTGCTGCCGCCCGCGCCCCGGGGCCTCCGAGCACCCTGAGCGGCCTCGGGGAGGCGGCAGATCCGAGAATATTTACCGGCACTTACCCGCGCCCCGGGGCGGACAGCCCCGCTCCGGCCCGCGCATCCCCGGGACGCCGAGAGACCGTGCGAGCAGCGGCGCCAGCGACTCTGCCCCCGCGGCAGCCTGGCCCCTCTCCCCTATCCCTTTGAAAGCTGCTCTCCTCGGAGCCATCCCTGGGCTCCTCTCCCTGCCGACGGGGCCGGGCCCGGCGGGGACACCTGACACCGCCGCCCGCCCGGGCCCCGCCAGCACCGGGCACAGACCCCCGTCTCCGGGCACAGACCGCCCCGGCGGCACGGATGGAAATCAGGGAGCCGATCCTCTCCTCGCGGAGCCGCACGGGCGCCGGGCACGTCCGTACTTCTTCTAGCGGGTACGGTCGGCAACAAGACATGTTTCTAATTTAAACGCACACAGAAAACAGACGGCGATATTTTCTTTATTAAAATCAGCCAGCTGCGGCGAAAGGAGGGGAGAACAAGCAAAGCGAGCCCCACCGCTGCGAGCGGGTTAACGGGAGGCTCCGCAGGGAGCAGCGCATCGCGTCCCGTACGGTCACGGCCCCGGTCCCGCTCCTGGCAGGGCTGCGAGAGTCCAAGGGAGGGCACAGCCTCCAAGGACACACGCATCCGTGGCCCGAGCACAGAAGATGTGGAAAGTGCCCTCCCGTTAGCCTAAGTTCCCGCAGGAGAAGCAGTTCTGGCTGCTCTGCAGCAGGTACTGCCCAGGGGCTCCCTCCGAACTGACGTAACGGAGCTACGGCTTTATGTCCGAATCATTCAATATTCTTATTAATACAAACTTGCATAAAATATCGTTTCCTTTCGAATAACTCAATCCTGCGCTTTAAAAGAATGAACAGAACTTTACGGCAAGAGATTGATCTAAATTAAGGTGACTGGGGGCAGTAAAGCAAGGTGCGTGCCACGCCGCCCCGGCGACGGTCTCACTGTCACTGCTGCAAGCCCAGCATTAAGCGGAATAAGATTTATGCCTGCGGTGAAGCACCGTCCCGCCTCTCTCCCGCTTTCCCCGCACACACCGGCGCTGCCGCCGGGTCCCCTCGCAGCGGGCGGAGGGCGCAGCGCGCTCACCTCACACCCACCCTTCACCTGCCTCCACGGCGAAGTTGCAGGGGGAGCTTTTTTCCCCAACCCGCTCAGACCCTCCCCCCTCTACCGCCTCCCATCCCGGCTCCAAGGCCGGCCGATCCCGGGAGCGCGGAGCGGACGGGGCGCGCCCCTTTCCCTTTGCCCCTTTCCCCGGGGCCGCGGCGGGGGCGAGCGCGCGGGCGCGTGGTGTGCGCGCGCCGCCGCGGTGCCGTGCCCGCCGCCCGCCGCGATTGGCCGCGCCGCTGACAGCTCGGCGGCGATTGGCGGCGCGGCCCCGCCCCGCGCCCGCGCCGCGGCCCCATTCATAAAAACTACAGCGCCCGGCGGCACCGCCGCCGACACGGAGAGCGAGGGACGCGGGCACACGGCGCTGCAGGAGGAGAGGCGCGGAGAGTGGGAGCCTCGGCGCGCACCTCCGGGGGTGGGGAGGGGGAGGAGAAGCCATCCCGGGCACGGCAGCTACGCCCGCCTCCCGCTCAGGATAAAACACAGTCTTGTGCAAAGAAAACAAAACAAAACAAAAAAACCAACCAACAACGTCAACAACTCTCTAATACATCTCTCTCACAACAATCCATATAGAGCTGCAGGACAGGAATGAGAGATCACAGACCAAGTGCACACGTCTGCGCGTAAAGATAGAGACAGCCACAGAGCCGGGTTCAGCCAACGCCTCCAGCAGGAAAAGGGAAATCAACAACACCCCCTGACAGTCTGAGCGAGCGGCAGCCAAACTCATGCACATCTCTGGCGGTGCCACGGACTGAAAGAGAGAGAGAGAGAGAGGCAGACAGACTAACAGACAGAGAGTTCACTCTTCCGCTGTGGGCATTGCTCGCATTCTTCTCCTCCTCCCGTTCCGTGTGCGGTTTTAAACTTCGCCGCCGACCGGCATTTCAGCGGGGACCTTCTGCGAGTCCTGGGGAAGTTTGTTTGCTGTTTTGTTGGTTTTTTTCATGAACTATTGAAACAGCATTTTCGTCGCTGCGCGGGGGGGTGGGCGCCTGAGCGCAGAGGCAGCGGGGACTTCCCTGCCCCCATCGCCATCCAAAACTTTGCGCTCCGGGATCCCGCGGGGGCTGCCCGCAGCTCCGGCACCGGCTCCGGCTCCGGCACCGCCGCCGCCCAGCCCGCACCGTCCCGCTGCTCCTGCTCCTCCTCCTCGCCGGGGCAGCGCTGGGCTTCGCTCCTTTGTGCTTCGCCGCCCTCCCCGATTTCTTTAATTGCTCTCCCCGGCGCGCCGCTGCCGCCTTCTTCCCGGAGGCGGTGGGGGTCTGCGACTTGGCTGGTGCCCTCCGCAAAGCTGCAGCCACCGCTAAAGCATTGGATCCCTCAACGTACTGCGAGAGCCCGGTGTACAGCCCGGACCTGTGCCCCAACATGATCGCCGCGCAGGCCAAGCTGGTCTACCAGCTCAACAAATACTACACGGAGCGCTGCCAGGCGCGCAAGGCGGCCATCGCCAAGACCATCCGGGAGGTGTGCAAGGTCGTGTCGGACGTGCTGAAGGAGGTGGAGGTGCAGGAACCCCGCTTCATCAGCTCCCTGAGCGAGATCGACGCCCGCTACGAGGGGCTGGAGGTGATCTCGCCCACCGAGTTCGAAGTGGTGCTCTACCTCAACCAGATGGGCGTCTTCAACTTCGTGGACGACGGCTCCCTGCCGGGCTGCGCCGTGCTCAAGCTGAGCGACGGCCGCAAGCGCAGCATGTCCCTCTGGGTGGAGTTCATCACCGCCTCGGGCTACCTGTCCGCCCGCAAGATCCGCTCCCGCTTCCAGACGCTGGTGGCCCAGGCCGTGGACAAGTGCAGCTACCGGGACGTGGTGAAGATGATCGCGGACACCAGCGAGGTGAAGCTCCGCATCCGGGAGCGGTACGTGGTGCAGATCACGCCCGCCTTCAAGTGCACCGGGATCTGGCCGCGCAGCGCGGCGCAGTGGCCCATGCCCCACATCCCCTGGCCCGGCCCCAACCGGGTGGCGGAGGTGAAGGCGGAGGGCTTCAACCTGCTCTCCAAGGAGTGCTACTCGCTGACGGGCAAGCAGAGCTCGGCCGAGAGCGACGCCTGGGTGCTGCAGTTCGGCGAGGCCGAGAACCGGCTGCTGATGGGCGGCTGTCGGAACAAGTGCCTCTCGGTGCTGAAGACGCTGCGCGACCGGCACCTGGAGCTGCCCGGGCAGCCCCTCAACAACTACCACATGAAGACGCTGCTGCTGTACGAGTGCGAGAAGCACCCTCGGGAGACCGACTGGGACGAGGCGTGCCTGGGGGACCGGCTGAACGGCATCCTCCTGCAGCTCATCTCCTGCCTGCAGTGCCGGCGCTGCCCCCACTACTTCCTGCCCAACCTAGACCTCTTTCAGGGCAAACCCCACTCGGCCCTGGAAAGCGCTGCCAAACAGACCTGGAGGCTAGCCAGAGAAATCCTCACCAATCCCAAAAGCCTCGACAAGCTATAGGGTTAACACCCCCGCGCACAAAAACTCGCTCTCCGTAAACAACAACAGCGCCTAAAAAACTTTTTATTTAACGCGAACGACGACGGAAAGAGGCGGCGAAAGACACGCGCCCCTCGCCACCCCCCCACCCACCTGCAGCTCGGCCTTTAAAAACTTGCCGACGGTTTTCCCGGCATAAACTCTCACCGCCTTGCACGGAAGAAAGGAAGAGCCTCTCCTCCCGTCCTCCAATGTGAATTTTTAAAATGTCACAAAAAGAAGCGATCGGACTTTTGCAACTTCAAAACGAAACGAAACCCGAAAGGTACATTTTCCAATCCATGTATAGTCCTTTTCTTATGCTCTCTTGTTTGCCTGAATGTTGTCACCAAGTGAAAATTATTTAACTATATGTACAAATCTCCCTTTAAAAAAGTTTTACTGATGTTAAATGTATTTCGGTGCCAAGGTCAGATTATGTGCCCCACAACTGACTTGTTGCAAATAGTAATAAAAATATTACTTTAACTTTAAGCTGACTTTTCGTGAATGGTTCTTAAATTCAGGAAAGTAAATTCTTTCTGAACCTCAAAAGTAAATTTTTTAGTAGAAACGAAAACATGAGATGTAAAGATAGTCTAAACGCGACACCTAGCCCAAGCCTTAGCTTGGCAGATTGACTGACGTTTTCTAAACTTCCCTTTAGTTTCAAGATACCGGAAAAAAAAAAAAAAAAGAGGGCATCTAAGATAAAAAAATCTTATATATTCTGTAGTTCAGAATGTGACAACATCTGCTATATTTCTAGTACCTTAAACTTCCATTCTAAATTTTCTGAATATATGGAGCATCGCACAGCAGCTCGCCACAATTTAGTCAGAATTGGAGCATGCCGTTTCCCACCCTACAGTCGTCACCTTTAATTTTTTCCTTAAAATTTTTTCCTTTAAATTTCCCCAGTAAATCTCAAGCGCTGCATTTTGTTTTAAAAATCCCTTGCTGTTCACTTTCGCTTTCCAGAGCAAACGCCGTACCCCCATTTGACTTTGACACGAGGGAAGTATAGATCTACCCTGAATAATTAATGAGATTTAGAGCAACCGGTCGATATTTTTTTTAAACAAACATTTGTTTCCCCCAGATTTTTAAGTACAGCGTAAAATCGCACCTCAGCATAGTCAGACGGGGAGATAAGCAGGAACCCGTCAGGAAACCACCCGATCCTACACCGATGCCCGGGCGCTCTCTGCCGATCTCCTTCCCCGCCCGAGCCCCCTCTCCCAAAGCCAAAGAAAATCTGCTTGATTTCCCGTAGCGATTTCGCTTTAAGATTCCTAAGGACGATTTGGAAATACTGGCAGGATTTTTATTGGGAACGCATTGCTAAGCTTTAAAAACGTTAGCATTACCCGCTCGAGCCGCCCGAAAAATTGCCGGAGCATTTCGAGTAAGTTTTCATGTCCTTTCGGGAGCAAGGGGGAGGTAAAAATATGTAAGTTCTCGCCCCAAAGGACTACTTTCGTTTCTTTTTGGACGGATCCGGAAAGAAAAACCCATTCAAACATGAGCTGCTTTTGCCTTTAAGTTAAAAACGAAATTATCCCTTGCGGGAGGAGCCCGGGAGATGGAGCGGGGTGCGCGGGGGCGACCCCGCCGCCGCATTCCCGGCCTCTCCAGCCCCGGCTGAGCTCCGCAAGCCTCCTGTGGAGTCATCAGAGCGCTTTCCCCCAGCGCTGATCCTGGATCACTCGGCAAAACGGGCTTAGCCCACGGGGCTACCCTTTCCTTCCCATAACAGCCCGGAGCTCGCGTGTAAACTGTGATCCTATCGCTGCCGATGCTATCGCTACGTGAGGCAGGGTTTCCTTCAGGAACTTGTCACAATGTTTTCTTTTCAGTAGTTTAGACAAATATACAGGGAACTTAAATTTATCAAACAGATGAAGCCTCATTAATTAAGCAGGCTTGCTGAGCTACAGCGGATTAGTTGTTTGGGTTTTGGTTTTTTTGTTTTGGAGGTTTTTTTTTCCAAGGGGCATTTTCTGTAGCAGCTCCAGTCACCGCTATCAAGGTACATTGACCTCAGCAGAAGGTGGGGTGGGGCAGGGAGGTGTTAATGCTTGAAAACAAGCTGCTTTGTAACCTTACTTGGTTTTCAAGATAAAATTATTCAGATTTTATTTTTAGCCGGCCCCCCTCCCACATTACAAAAGGTCTTTTTTAAGATCTCCAGCTAAAGTAACAATCGCAAGCAGAATGTAAGAGTTGTAGCCAGTATTTCATGTAACCAACTCCTCCTTTTATAAGAACCCAAATAAAATCTCTCAGATGCAGAATAAAAGATACAGTAAAGCCAAAACAGAATGCCTGCTCATAGTTAAGAAAAAAAAACCCTAGCAAATACTGAAAAACAGGAGAAAAGAAAAGAGGCTGAATATATATATGTTGTATATCAATGCTCCCATAAAACATGTAACAGGAATGGTAAGAATTAGTAACTGTACTCAAACACTCTATGTGCTAAACATGGCAAAAAATGTAGAATCATTCAGATCTGTAAGACTTTTCTCATGCTAATGCATTACAAAGCAGAAGATTTTAGATGGAAAATGCAATACAATAACATATCAAACTGACTTAACAGTTTACATTCATATCCTTCTCACCACTAAGTGTTTTTCAGTTTTGGTGGTTTTCTTTTAGTTAAACATAATGAAGAGTAAGTATTGCAAAATTTTAAGAACTATCTCATACTTGAAATAATTTCCAATATATTTCAAAAATACTTCAGGACCAAAAGAAAAGTTGAATCTCATTTACGATATCACATAAAAATCACAATTCTAGTTAATTAATTACATTAAAATCTAGCTCTAACAATTTGAGAGCATTGCTTTTCAAAATAAATTTATTCCTTGATAGGATTTGATAATCCCAGCTTTCCAACCCAATGCCATTTTTAATACAGATACGAGCAATTTACTCAGTAGGAACAAAGAACTGAACTGATGCTTAACACACAAGCTATTCTCTACAGACAAGCAGAAAACCACTACTTCTTCCAATAAGTAGCCTTCACAAAGAAATTATTACCTTGTTTACTATTAAGCAGATATTTAAAAAACCAAGTCACGACTGTGCTTAAGTTGGGATGTGAGAATATTTACCATTTGCCTCATACTTTTGAAATGCTGCTGTGACACTGCAGAAAACATTCAAGCGCAGCCTTATTAAGCTCATCGCAAAATATATTCCCTTTGAAATTGGAATTCTACTGAAGGTTACTAATTTTAAACAAAAGCAAATTGGAGCAAGTAAAGTTTGTGGAAATTAGCAAGTCAGTTCAGAAACGTATTTCAGGAGGGCAATTATGTTTTCTATTTAGGCACAATAAATAATAACAGGCCCTGTAAAATCTTCTATAGAATAGTACCACAGAAGCACTGAAAACTGAGGAGAGTAGGAAGTTTAGCACTATGTTACATTGCCATCACACAAAATCAGGAAAGTAAAACAAAGCATTTGGGCTAAAAGCCTCCTTGAACTTTCCAGTATTCACACAGGCCTGTGATTCAAGATGTCTTTATTTAAGACATCTCCCTGGAGCTTTATTCACAGCAAGCTAATTAACATTCAAGTAGGGGCGAATTGTGGGAGGGGGAGAAAAAGGAGAAGGAAAGGAGGTGTCACCTATGTGAAGTTCAGTAACATATATGGTCAGTCACAAAGTTATTAAAGCAGCAACACTGCAGACCAATAGAGGTAAAGGAAGTCGAGTGAAGAATTAAAGGTCTTGGGTAATTTGTCATCATCTCTCAGAGCTCAGGGTCAATGATCTCTTACCTTTGGGTCGATTTTCTTAAAACTAGGATCTTCTTCATCCACCTCAAAGTAGAGCTCAGAAAGAGTGATGGAAAGAGTGCCTTTCACTACTACTGAGGGTGCCACAAGCTGAGCTGGTGTGCTGAGGGCAACTGGACCTGCCAAAGCCAGAAAACACCAACAATGTTCAAACTGAAAAGAACGCGAGTGCAAATTATTCGCTTTTCAAGCCAAGAACATTAAAATAAAGCAAAGAGTATAGCTCTTCCTTCAAGAGCAAAACTCTTTTTATCCTGGAAAAGAACATATGTAATAGATTTGCAGTGTCTCTGTGCTGCTGAACACTGAAGCAGCTACAATTGCAAACTGCTGCATACATTATACAGAGCTGGCTTTAGCATGGCAGTATTTAGCTTTTACACAGACATGTTTTTCCTTCTGAGAAACTTATAGACTTGCATACCTTCTGTTATATGCAATGCAGAGAGTGCACACACGAACACTTGAAATCTTACTGTCTGATGTGTTCTTTAGTTACCGGAAAGTTTCCATAGCTTTTCACCAAGATGAACATAGCAGTCAAGGCTCAAAGTTGTCTAACTCTAAAGTGTTCCCTCATGGATGCTAGAAATCTATTGTTAAGGTTACACAATGTTATAGAGCCTAAAGTAAAATGTTTTAAAGATGCTTTTGATTCCACTTTAAATATTGTTCAAGGAATCCATACAGTGTTAGTGTAGCTCGGGGACTGTGGGAGTAAACAGCTGGAGGGTTGGTTTCCAACTGAATGAATTTTTATTGGAATAATCACATCTCCACAGGGCTTATCACAGGGACAAATCAGACTACTACTGAAAACAATAGGTTCAGCATAGATCTGACAATGCAGAACCTATTATATAAACTAACACATACAGAGAGAAAACAGGTTTAGGTTTGTCATCCAGCTGATTAAGAGGTAAGGAAATGAAGTTCCTCGGCTGCAGTATTATCTGACTTTTGCAAAACAGTGGAAGAAATTAAATTGACACAGATAATTTTGTTTTAATAAAGCATCTATAAAGGAGGTACACACGTTCAGGTAATCAACGTGAGAATAACTGACAAAAAATTCAGATGAATTGTCATTTCCATCGATTGTTAGGAGGGTGATGGTCCTTAATCTCACATCAATCTCAATGTGTGCCACTAGGACAAAAGAAGAGATGCTCTGCTGAGATCAGAGCAGCTTTGCCCTCTATTCCCAATGTACAAATACATTGTGTTTGCAGATGGGCATGAGATAGCTGTGGAACTGCCATGATTTCCCAAAGCTCACCCCCACAAATGGATGAAATAAGCAGCTATGTGTTCTTTTGCTGTCTCCCTTTGCCCCCTGTACATTAGCATGTAATCCAGAGGAGAAATAACATTTTTTCAATCACTCGCAGACATTCAATTACAGGGCAAGCAGACAGCTGCAGAAGCTGGGGCAGTCCAGGTCCTGTAGAAGACCCCTGACAATTTCCACTTCATTTCTAACCCACACCACTTTATTAGTGAGGATTACTTCTTAATCCTATTGCCATTGTCAAGATTATATAATTAAACTCCCCTTTCACCTCTATTACAGTATGAATGTATTACTCGAACCAATGAATGAATAATAGAAGGCAATGTGGAGAAGGCTGTTGAGAAGGAAGCTCATTGTAGGGAGCGAAAAATAAAAGATTTGTATACAGAAAATGCCACTGCATCATTCTCCTGTTAATTTCTTTTACTTTACTCTTCCTACGCAGGTTT